CTGGCTCAGCCACAGGTGCAACGGTGTCTGCACTGGGGTTCTGGGGTGGAGGCATTGGAGCCGGGGGTCACAGACGTGTCTTGCGGGACCCCACGCAGGCATCTTGCCTCCTTGGTGGTCATCAGTTCCTGTGGTCTCCGTCAGCCTTCATTTCCCCTGCAGTGCCCACACACCAGAGCACATGGAGAGCTGGGGTCCTGGAGAAAGCTACTGGACAGGCCCAGCCTCCTGCCCCCAACGCCCCGGACCCTTCCTCTTGGCTGCCCCGCCCACCCGCTAGACACGTGTAGACCCTCAGAGGGAGCCTGATGCTTCCCAGCTGGGTTCCAGGTCTTCCGCTCCATTTACTGGGCCCCACAAGGTGGTGATGGCAGCGCCTCTTAGGAGTTAAAAGTGGTTCAGGCCCCAGTGATTCAACTGTTGCTTCCTCTGTGTGGCCAGTGGGACCCCCTTTGTGCTGATGCTCCGGAAGGAGGCTGGAGTGAGTGGCTGGAGGCCAGGCTTTTCCTAATTTACCAACTTTCCGAATCTGATCACCTCCAGGTGAGCGCTGTGTTTTTGCCAGTGGGTTCTACACTGTCCAGATTAAGCCAGCTCAACCACCCTCGGTCATTCTGGAGCATGTGTCTTCGTGCCCGGCAGTTCACACTCGCTCTTCGAATGGTCTAAGCCAACTCAAGGCCTGCCTTCTCCACGAAGGAGCTGCTCGCAGCGTGGCTCAGGCCTCTGGCTCTCCAGCTTCGCTGTCTGGCATTGCTCGTGTTTCCTGTATCCTCCGGGGCTGCACAGACACTGCTCACCTAGCAGAGCAAGGAAGACGCTCAGCTGATGACCTTAACGTGAGTGAGCACAGACAGCAGCTCTGCTTCCATCTACCGCACGCCCCTCACCCGGGACCCGGTGCTGGGGACAGAGCAGGCCACTGGAGGGGATGGCCACATGCCATTTTGACCTTAGCACCCCTACAAAGACAGGGTGATGCGTGTCTATGTTAATAAAAGTTTATTTTTAAAGTGCAGCTCACTCACCAAAGGGGGCTAGACACCGGGATGGCCGACGCAGCACAGTGATCCCCCTGGAGAAAGAGCTGCTGAGGCCGGACCCTCCTTCGCAGTGGTGACCTCAAAACGTCAGCTTTCCGCCACTGACCTTCCCAAGCTCCACACCGTGACTGTCCACGGTGGAATCTGCGAGTCACACGCTGCTGTGACAGGCATTCAAAAGTAGTTGCCTATGTATTTACATATCTATGTTAATGTCATTGATAATTATAAAGGTGGATGTGCAGGGACCTTGGGTGATCAGCAGGTGATCGTCACTGCTGGACCAGGCAGAGCACTGGACTGAGTCCGGGGGATTTATTAATTTATAGCCTAGCTGGGTAGTGAGCACAGCTTTTATATGAGAGAGAGACTGGGCTCAGTCTCTCAGGCTGGAGGGCAATGGCATGATCTTGGCTCACTGCAAACTGCCTCCTGAGTTCAAACGATTCTCCTTCCTCAGCCTCCCAAGAAGCTGGGATTACAGGCGCTTGCCACCGCACTCAGCTATTTTTTGTATTTTTAGTAGAGATGCGGTTTCACCACGTTGGCCAGGCTGGTCTCGAACTCCTGACCTCAAGTGATCCACCTGCCTTGGCCTCCCAAAGTGCTGGGATTATAGGCGTGAGCCACCACGCCCGGCCAAAAATTTTTAATAATTTTATATATTAAAAAACTGGTGTAGCAGTGTCAGGTACATGAAACGTTTCATTTGTTGAGTTAAACAAATGTTTAAAAACCACCAGACTATCATGAGGAAAAGGCTGGTCTCCTTCCCTGGAACCAAGAGAAATCACTGAGGAGGTCAGAGGCAGGGACCAGGCTCAAGTCACATGACGGCACTCTGCGGAAAATCTACATACTCCTATAATAAACGTCTACTAAATAGTCCAGATAGACCATCTGTGGGTACGTGAGCCGATGTGAAGCTTGCGACTGACTGCATTGTAAGTCCCATGCCAGTGGTCAGTGGTTACTCTTCAAGGATATATGGTCTTTTTTGAACTTTAATTCTGCCTGTTTTCGGTGAGAATAGCATAAAATAAGAGTCAGTGCTTCACACTTAGTGGGAATTAACTTATCTGCTGATGATCAGGCTTCCCTCTTTATAAGGAAAATCAGCCAATTTTTTTTTTTTTTTTAATTAAAAGCTGGAGGTAGCTGGAGAAATGATTAGGATGTCTATCATGGTTTACATAGGAGTAGGTTTGTATTTAAATTGCAAGAAAACCAGAGCCGAGCAGACACGCTACTTGGAAAAGTGCTGATCTAAGGCCGGCAGGCGGCTGTAGCCCTCCGTGGTTAATTACATCTTAATCCCATCTAGTATCTGCGCAGGAAGAATGAAGTGTTCGCAAGGAAGTTCATGGATAGCCATGGAATCTCTTGTCTGTTGGTTTTTAAATTTTCAACTTTGTTTTTTTCAAACCTACAGAATAACCCATAAAGATTCACCAGCTTTGCCACTCTGCTCTCTCTCGGTCAGATATCATGGTATTTCACCCTAAATCCTTCAGAATGCTTTTCTGAGAACAATGATTGGCCCTGGCTATCATACTTTCACTACAGTGATCCCCCTTGGGAAACTAAACACTGATGTAATACACACAGTGTCAATTTAACATTGAGGTAATACACACAGTTCAGTATCCAGTATCATAGTTCATGTTCAGATGTCGTTTTCCCCAATAACAACCTTTATACATGTTTTTCTTTTTTTTTTCCCTGCCCATTATTCAAAGTTGTATGTTGCATTTGCTTTTTTCTTTCTTTTTTTTTTTTTTTTTTTTGAGACAAGTCTCGCTCTGTTGCCCAGGGGCTGGAGTGCAGTGGCATGACCTCAGCTCACTGCAGCCTCCACCTCTCATGCTCAAGCGATTCTACTGTTTCAGCATCCTTGAATAGCTGGGATTACAGGTGTCCACCACCACGCCTGACTAATATTTGTATATTTTTAGTAGAGACGGGGTTTCGCCATGTTGGCCAGACTGGTCTCTAACTCCTGACCTCAGGTAATCTGCCCACCTCAGCCTCCCAAAGTGCTGGGATTACTGGCAGGAGTCACCCTGCCTGGACAAATTAGTTGTTAATAATCAAAACTTGACACCTTAAGCAACAAACCTTTTTTTTTTTTACATTAAAATTTTGGATATGAATCTGCCTTAAGAGATATTATTTCTAGACTGTACTGAAGGATTACCATGGACACACTGAGAATCCTGATGTGATGATTGTCATGTAAGTGAATTCCAGCCCTGGGCTGTATGCAGAATTAGGAGAAACAGCTTAGGGCGGGTGAAATCTTCTGCTCACTTTCAGTGACTCGCACTTGCCGTGGACCTGTCGTTTTCTATAAACAACGTTTTATTCATGTATACTGAGGACTATTTTATGTGCCAGGGCCCAGAGAACCAGTCATCTGGCCATTTTGGAACTGTGAGTGATGTCTCCTGCGGTGTGTGTAGAGGGAGTGTCCATTAGCTGTGGTGGTGGTAGTGGGAGTGGGGCGGGGTGGAGCTGAATACAGAGAAGGTTGTGGAAAGCCTGGGAAGTAAAGATGGAATGCGGAAGGCCTTGGGAACAGGCTTGAGGGACAGGAGGCTGGAGGGAGGCGTGATGTCCCAGGTGGGGACAAGCAGGGAGACGGTGGACGTCGGGGAGGCTCCAGAAAGGTCTGGGGAGCCATGCAACGGCCTAGCGCAGGGCAACAAAGAAGCCACTGCAGAATGCTGAGCCAGGCAGAGAACCCAGGCTTAATAGAGCAACACTTGCCTACTCTGTCTCTGGCTGCCCGGCGCTGCACCCTACGGACGTGCCTAGGTGCAACATCCCATGGGATGGCACGTGGTTGTGACTAACCTTATACATCTAACACGCATGCAATTAAGTCCGTCTCTGGCATCAATCCTGCATGTGGGTCAAAGGCTATGTGCATTTAGAATTTTTAAGGATGTCCACAAATTATCCGGATGGAAGCTATACTAATTTATTCTCCTACCAGAAAAGGAGGAGAGAGTTTGTTTCTCTAGCTTTTTCAAAATTTAAACTTTTTTTTGAGGCAAGCTCTCACTGGTTTTGTTGTTCAGGCTGGAGTGCAGTGGCGCGATCACAGCTCACTGCAGCCTCAAACTGTGAGACTCAAGTGACCCTCCTGCCCCAGCCTCCTGAGTAGCTGAGACCGCACGTGCCACTGAGCCCAGCTAAGGTTTTTAGAGACAGGGTCTGGCTATGTTGTCCAGGCTGTATTAAACTTTTAAAAAAATCTTTGCTAATCTAATAAAAATGATCTCATGGTGAGACTTTGTTTCTCTTATCACGGCGTAGTTGAATAGCTTCTCATATATTTAAGAACCATTGAATTTCCTACGAACTGTCCATCCATATGATTTATTGATTCCTAAGAGCCTCACACACAAGACGGAAAGGAGCCCTTTTGTAGTACCAATTTAAGATCGTTGCCCACTTTCATGACTTCTTTCTGAATGGAGGTTTTTTGCCAGGCAGCGATGAACAAGCCAGTCCGCCTCTCCGAATGTGCGCGGCCGGGACTAGGGTGAAAGGTCCGTCGCTTTGTGATGGCACACACACTAGGCGGAGGGGGTCGAGAGAGGCCACACAGGCCCCCAGGGAGGAACCCAGAGCCAGGCCCGCGGCCCAGCCCGTCCGGCCGGACTCCCCTCCCTGCCCCTCGCGGGCACAGAGCTCGTGTCCCAAAGCCCACCCCGCCGGCCAAATCCAGAGGCCACCGTGAGTGGGGGCAAGTCCCAGGCCTGCTCCCGAGAAACACTCCACCCCACCCCCCGCCACCACTGACCAACCCCGCAAGAAACGCGCCCGAGGAGAGACGGAGGGGGAGCTGCCCGCGCGCGTGGGCGGCGGGGCCGTGCCACGTGGGAGGGGGCCGCGCGCGGAATCCCGTCCTGCCAGACCCGCCCCGCGAGCGCCCGCTGCCCCGTCCACGCCGCCCACGTCCCGCAGTCCCACCCGCAGGCCTCGCCCGCCGCGCCACCGTCCCGCGCGCGCCCCCATCTCGCCCGCGCCCCCCGCGCCCGGACGCAAACTACAAGTCCCGCCATGCCCCGCCACCGCCCCCCGGCTTCCGGTGCTGCGCAGTTTCCGGAGCGGATCGCAACCCGGAGTCCGGATCCGATCCCGCTCTGCACATTCCAAAGGCAGGTAAAGCTCTGGGCCCCGCGCCTGCCGCCCGCCCCGGCGCGCGCCCCGCCCGTCCCGGCCCACGCCGGCCGCCCCCGCGAGCCCCGGCGCGCCCCGGCCCTGGCGCCCCCCGCCCCCCGCGTCCGGCCGCCGCGCGCCGCCCCGGTCCAGCCGCCATGCCGACTGTTCTTTGTTACATTCGCCGGCTGCGGGCACCGTTGGCGATCGGAGTCAAAACCCGGCTGGATTTCCCGGAGCCGCTCCGGGATCGCCCTGCGCGCCGCCCGCCCGCCGGGTCCCGCCGCCGCGGGCGCTCCTGGCTGGGCCCAGCGCCCCCGCCCCCGGCCTTGCGCCCCCCGCCTGCCCGTGGCCAGGCCCAGCGTGGGGCCGCGGAGCTGCCGGGCCGCGTTCGCCCGTGGGCGCGGCGCGGGGTCTCCGCCGCCCCCGGCCCGTGGCCCCGCGCCCCGGTCCCCGGGCGGCTTCGTCGCCGAGGGCCTCGGGGATGTCGCTGTCCCCGCCCTCGGGAACAGCCCGTGCGGGGCGCCCGGGAGGGTCCCTGGACCCCACCCCCGCGTTTAGAGAAGCTGAGTCCGGGTGATGGGGTCCCCAGGCCCCCTGCGCCTTATTTTCCTAAGACTTTTGGTGGCAGAGAGAAGGTCGCGAGGCGGATGGACGCGTGACGCGCCTGCCCCGGGGTGGGTGGCCGTGCGGGGACTGGGCGCGCCCGCCGCCCAGGTGAGGCCCGCCTCGCGCGGACAGGGGCGGACGGGGGCCACGTGCGGCCTCAGGCGAGAGGGGAGGTGGTCACGCAGGGGTCGGCCTTGAGAAGACGGAACTGAAAACTCATGGAGATAAATACCACTACCTGGTGGTCAGACTCATCACCCATTTGCCTTCCTTAAGCCCGTGAGGTAGTGGATGGGGTTTTCCCCCGCAAATGCTCAGAAATTGCCCCTCACCCCCAAGCTCCCAAAGAGAGTTTAAAACGGTGGAAACAAGTGTGTGATCAGAGACACGTGGACCTATGTGTGTATTTAAAGCTGCCAACCTTGTTTTAAAAAATCATATTGGCTTAAGCCAGACTCAAGTGAATTTGGAGAACCCAGCTTGGTTCCTGAAGGTGTTTTTAAGGATGACATGTGAAGGCACCAGTGGTTTTGTGATGAACTCTAAAAGGTAGCAGTGACAGTTCTCCTGGGAGAATGCACTGGTGTAAACGCTTTTGCAAAGGGAGGTGATCCCACCCCGGTGCACACACCGCTACCATATTTTGTTTCAAGCTCGGACATTTTCACATGTTCCACGTTTTCACTGCTTCACTCCTTCCCCAGATTTCCCGACATCGCTGCCTCATGGTGAAAGATTAAGAAGTACTAGTTCTATAATTTAGATTTTCAAAAGAAAAAAAAATAATTTTTTTTTATAGTTTGTTTTTCTTCTTGCATCTGTGATTCAAACTTTTTGCAGCGAAGTAGCTGGCAAAGAATAAACTAGTATGCCCCATTTTGGAAGCAGGCGGGATGGTTATTTCTCCAGAAGACAAACAAATAAATGTAATAATCAACCGTAGTTGGAAGGCTGCTGGCTTGTCTTAGAATAATTATATTTGATAAAGAACTCTGTTGACTTAGGATGTGGCTCTCATACCATTTTTGATGTCATTATCTGTACAGAGGGTGTGGAAAGAACAGTCCTGCCATTTTGCAGTGAAGGGAGATTTAAGGCAACTGTGTCTTCCACCTGTGTGCTCAGAGGTTGGGATGGTGAGCAGAGACCTAAATGCTTTCTCAGACTCAGTTCCTCATTTGTAAAGTGTGAATGGCCCTGCTCAGCTCACTTCACCTCACAGTGCCAGTGTGTGTGTAGATATTCATTCATTCGGCCGTTCGTTCATTCCTTCCACCAGTGTTGAACACCTGTTACATGCCCCAAGCTGTAGTGGACGGGAGAGAAGGCTACACCTTACACCTGGTGGCCCAGATGTTCTGGTGGTGGGGGAGGGAGGGCAGGCAGGAGGTGGTGTAGACAGAAAATCATAAACTCTCAGTTAAGGCAGCGGGAAGAGCATGAAGAAAGGAAGGGGGGCCGGCAGGTGGCGGGCAGGGATGGGGCACTTGGGGGTGGGACTGGAAGGGGCTGTGTGAGGAGAGCCACAGCGCAGACCAGTGCTGTGAGGGAGCCTCTGGTGGAACTGGGCAGGGTGGTGCCTGCTCTACCAGGCAGATGGTGGCAAGTGCAAAGGCCCTGGGGTGGGATGAGCCGAGGATGGGACAGGCCAGTGTGGTCGTGCAGGCCGGGCAGCAGGGGGTAGGTACCCAGCAGAGATTTTATTCTGAGTGCCTTATGGTTGCCACTGAGGGGCTTTGAGCAGTGGTGGGGCAGAGCAGTGGTGGGGATGGAGCTGAGGGGCTTTGAGCAGTGGCGGGGATGCCACTAAGGGGCTTTGAGCAGTGGTGGGCTGGAGCTGGCATCATGGGAATCCAGGCCCCGTCTGATTCCACTGCACATAGCTTGGAGGCAGAAGGGGAGACCGGGCGGCACAGAGCCAGCTCCAGAGCCAGGCAGGCCTGCTGCTGGTTTGGTTGGGAAATGCGTGGTGGGTGACTGGAGTTGCTGTTTACTGAAGTGCAGGTGATGGCTGTGTCCTGGGTGTGGGAGTGACCTGAGGGACTCAGGGGCCCTGTAGACCAGACATCTTCAAACTACCCCTCAGAGTGGGAGAATCCCCTGCCCTGGGCCCACGTCCACTCCGCAAAAGGCTCCTCCTAAGGAAAGGTCCCTCTTGCAGTGATGGTCCCATTGGGTGTGGGAACCCTGGGGTCCCAGCAGATGTGGGGGTGTTGGGGAGTGGTTCCCCTTGGGCCACAGGCCTGTAGTCCACGGGAGCCTCTGCCAGCGGCATTCATGGTGATCGTTGATGGCAAGTTGATCTTTGATGAATTCGGACTTGGAACTCGAGAGGCTGTGGCGCTGGGGGACTCTGCAGTGACCAAGCCTCTTCTGCTCCCATCTCCTTATTTCTGGAACCGGCTTCTCTGTGCTCACATTTCTGGAAGGAGGAATAGGGACAGAGGTGAGCATTTGTCCATGATATGTGAACTGATGGGGGGGAGCTCTTTCTCTTCTGTGAAACACAGCTTTTATGTTAGACGATGTTTGTCAAAGCGCAGACCGTTTCTGTTTTGATTGGTGGTGTTTCAGTTGTAGTCTCACCACATAAGGAGATTTTGTTCGAGGTGGACCGCTCATATGATGCTGGTCCCTAAGGTCACGGTACCGTGTTTTTACTGTACCTTTTCCATGTTGAGATATGTTTAGATAAACAAATGCCGTAACGTCGCAGGTGTCTACAGTATTGTGTATAGTCGAGTGTGGTGCAGGCTTGTAGCCTCGGTGCGTAGTAGGCTATACCATCTAGGGTTGTGTATGCACACTCTGTCGTGTTTGCACAGCTACAGAATCCCACAGCAATGTATTTCTCAGAATGTATCACCACCGTTGAGCACACACAACTTCTCAGTGACAGTTCAATCCAGGAGAAGTTAGCACAACCCCGTGGTTGTAGAAAATCAAGACGAATTCAATTTATATGCATGGTTGTGTTGCAAAAAGTTACAGTGGGGGAATCAATAGAGTAATTTCAAGCACGAATATACGACGCCGGGTTTGCATTTCGTAGTCACAGAAATAGGAGTCCCTGGAGGAAGAAGGGGACGCTTTCTGGCCCTTAAAGAAGAGCCCGCTCATGTCCATCGTAAATAGATGGCCGTGGCTGTCACCTTGTCGTGCCTGGATTCTGATATGTTTACAAGAGTGACATGGCGGTTTTATTTTAAGTCAATGTTTACAGTATGCTGGAAATGTTGTCCCTTGCAGCTGTTTAAAACAGGGATGAACGTTTATGCTGTCAGCCGGAATGCAGGGAGTAGCGTTTTAGGAAACACTTTCGTGGGAATACTGGCATAACTCAAAGAGCCTGGCCGCTCCTGGTTCCAGGTGCCAGGTGGAGCTGCCTCTGGGGCCTGGGGAGGGCGAGGCACCACCAGGAAGCTGGCTTGGGAGTTGGGGGTTGGGGGAAGTGCTACATTCAGAGGGAAGGAGGTCCAGGTAGCCAGCTTGGGGTACCCCCTGTGGAGGCTCTGGAGGGGAGGTGCAGACAGCAAAGGGGCCTGGGTGGGAGCATGCAGGAGAGGGACCCTCCAGAGGAGGCAGTAAGGACTTCGGGTTCGGAGGAGCGTGGACTGGGCGGGGTCCTGCTGAAGCCGATGATCCTACATGAATCTTACTCAGAGCAGGAGAAGCTGAGATCTGCACCCTGGCCTGGAGTCCTCCAAGCCCATGGGGTCTGATGAGCACAGACGGCTGGAGCCTGGCTTTCTCCGAGATGATGCTTTTCTTGCCTGAGATGCACCTTCTGTTCCTGGCTCCCTCTGACTGAGCCCCTTGTTCGCTGTGGTCTGGGTCTCCACCGGACAGCTCTGAGTGCTGACCTATTACAGGCATCATCAGTAAACCTTGACTGAATGATGCGGCTGCGGGCAAGCTCAGTGCCAGTCCGGGGGCATTCGTTCCTGGTGGGGGTTGGGCCTGCAGGACGTACATGTGGTTGGACTGTAACTTCCCGCTCACTGGACCAAGAGTCTGCTTTTGAGAAGCGGTGTTCCAGGTGTCTCAGAACCCTCTGGGCCTCTGGCCTTGTGTAAGTTTCTACACACACACACACACACACACACACACACACAAATATATATATACACGTATGGTAGTTAGTTATAGTAGTTTTGCCTTTTATTGCGACCAAAACCATCAATGCTGTTGTAGCGCCTCGTTCGGCAGGAGGTTCACAGGGCTCTTGTTCTGCGCAGCGGCCTCTGCAGTGACTCAGGCGGTCCTGTCATCTGGATTCCTCTGGCCTCCCTGCGTCCCCTGCACGTCTGACTTCTCCAGGCTTTGCTCTCTGCCTCTTCTCATTCCCTCTGTGGTGCTCTCCCTGACCTCATGCTGAGAATGTGTGAGAACCT